TACACTACACTACGCTACGCTACGCTACTCTACACGACACAAAACACAAGACACTAGACACCACACACATTGCACGGCACTACAAGACACTACACTACTTTACACTCTACACACTACACAGCTATGCTCCACACTACATTACACTGTAGGTACACTACACTGTTACTACACTCCGTTTTCACTACACCACACCATCACTACACTACACTGTCACTACCCTGCACTACTGTCACTGCGCCACACTGCACCCCGACACGACACTAAACCACACCACGCGACACGACACTTACACAAAAGTACATACACGCATGTATACACATACATATTCTGGCATGCGCAAACTCCGACTCCAAAATTTCGTTTAAAGACTCACTCATGCCGGTCTCCTTGGCTTTGCCCCTTGCCATCACTCTCAAAGTATGCAACTCAATCTTGGTACGTTTGTGATGAGAACAATGCACGACGGCACGGGCTCACGGGCACACAGACACACACCTGCCTGAATCGGCATCTATTTCTTGCTTCACCTGGAGAAAGAGAATGCTTTTGTTTACATAGCCACATCTGGAGAAAGGTTGCGTACTACAAACTGCTTTGCGCGAAATAAGAGCAAGTGTTCGATTTCACATCGATCTCTCGTGGTTCGTGCTCATTGTGACAATTTGCACTGGCCGTTCGCCATGCCCGTGAAGAGCACAGTCGAGCTCATTCCTGTGCAAGATGCGCACGGTCCAGCCTCTGCCTTCACTTCCAACTTCATGATCTCACCTTTCAGCGGCTCCTGCAATCGAGATGACTCGAGGCGATCGACGCGCTTCAAAAGAAAGCTAGACGCAGCGCACGTAGCACTGGGATGTGTTTACTAGAAAGCGTGATGCTGTCGCTATAGACCCGAAGCTGCTGCGGGTAAAAGCACGGCTGTGGGTAAAGGCTCCTTTCACACCTATCCAGTTGAACGAAACATGATGCCGGCACCTTGGGAAGCTCCTTCAGACCCTTGAGCTCACTTTCCTGGCGTGTCGGCATGGCTCAATCGCAAGCCTCTCCCAAACACTCCCGAAACTTCGAAGCTCGCAAGAACGCGAGGCGGGACAGTTCCAAGAGCTTGTACTTTTATTCTTTCCAGCTTGGCATCACGGTGCGATGCGAACCTGACTGGCAGCGAAGGCACACAGCACTGTCTCGGGATGGAAGCCACCAATGAAGATTGCTTGAGATCCGGACCCCAAGCCCTTCAAGGTTCCATCGCGAACGGCTTCGGCTAGCATGTCTTCGTTGCTTGTCACAACCTCCCAGGAGGAAGATTCGAAGATGTCAGAGAGCAAAAATCGGTCTCACAGTGGCCTCTTCACCCAGTTCATTTCGCATGACCTTCTTTTGTGGGCCCATGGCCTTGCTGGCGAAAAACGTCGAGAGTCTGCCCTGGCTCCTTTGTGAACTCGCCGGCCTCCCGACCGGTGTCTTCCTTTTTGGACTTCAGGAACTCCTGGAAGCTAAGCGAACGCATGCCGGCAATGCCGGAAATGCCGGCTGCCGGCCTCCCCCTTTGAAATCCCTCAAACCCTTTTTATTATCTTGTTTTTCCAGCGGCTGGACGGAGCGTAAGAGGAGGCTACCCGAGTGATTGGTGGCCTGCTGGTGTTGCTGCAGGCTGGTCATGTTCGGAAGCCAGCGGAAGCACTCCTGGCAGCGATGCCTGGCTTCGGACGTCTGACTTCTGGTTATCGACCGAGCTGTGCGACCAGGAGGCAAACGATAAAGCGAGAAGTTGGCAAACTGCTCCTGCACTGCCGTACAATTACTGATGGCGATTTCATTCTGGCTCCGAAGGAGATCTGCGAGAGATCCCCCCCCCTTCAACGTAATGCAGGCACCCGAAATCAGTTCACGTATCCGACGCGAAGACCTCTCTGACAATGCAAAATTTAGGTTGCGACTGATCTCAATGGGGTCTTCAATCTTCAGGATGTCACGGAATCCTCTGAACTGCTTCCTTGGCAGGATCGAGAACTCAGGGTCTTTAGCTGGCAATCGCTTCCCCAATCTCACGGATACCACCTCATTGCCCCAGTCGAACTGCTCCGAGAAAAACCTTGCTGCATCTCACGAAAACAGCCTAAGCTATGGGTTGTCTTCATAGGCCTCGTCAATAGGAAATGATAGTAAGCCAGGAAGCTCAAAAAAGCCACCCAGCAAATCTCCCAGGCAACGCTTCAGTTCTTGCTTCTGTGCATTCTGCACAAAACCAAGGGCAAAGGTCTTGGTCGGCTCCGTTCCTTCTGCACGCAGATCTCCGGTTGGACACAAGATGTGAAGAGAAGGCAAGCCGTGACAGACCTGAAGGTAGTACACCTTGGAAGCATTCCCAAGGCAAAGACACCGTGAGTCTCTTCCAGCTGTCTTGCTTTCAATCTGGAACCGCTTGCTTACTCTAAGTGCGTAAACTCAACATTCCAGCATGTTGCAGAAACTGGCTGCTTGCAACTGCAGAGGTTCAAGGAGCGCCGTCACCTCGCATTTCGCCCTCCGACATGCATTCCAACACATCCGTGAGCTAGGAGACATGACGAGTTCATGAAAAGCGCGAGCCAACACGAGTTCAGCTGCACAACAGCTTCGAGATACACCAGGCGATTGGTGCGGGAGCTGGGCCGGAGGGTGCCGTTCGAGTTCGATGAGACTGCTCGCCATGAAAAATCACAGAATGTCAAGATCATGAACAAAAGGACTCGTCGGATGGCAGGGGTGGAGACTTATTGAATAAAATGAAAAAAGGACTCAAAATGCTCGAGACACCGTCATGAGCGTCCAGGCGTAAGATGAAATTGCTCCAGATTGTACCTGTCCAATCTTGCAGGCCTTTGCCCAGCGCTTGATGACCATGGACAGCACCGGGATTTCAGGCAGAAGATCGACGTAGCTTCGAAGCAATGCCGTGTTAAATACTGGCAGCACATTCTGGCACGTAAGATCACAGCGCACGCCCCGGATATCCAAACACAAAAGTGGCCTCTTGGTTTTCTCGCTCAGCAGAGCCAGGGAGACCTTCACGTCGGGTCGAGACATGAACGCTTTCCGCAGTCGACGAAGCGCCTGATGAGGGGTTGGGCAAGCTTCTGGAAAAAACAACACCATATCCACATCGGAACTTCCTTCGCAGAGTCCCGTCACGGAAGAGCCAAACGGAATAACCGAAAGCTTGAACTGCCTCCAACGCTGTCTAGCAACAGCTGAAACCGTGTAAAGTGCACCCTTCTTCTTCTTGTACTCCTCCTTGTTTGGTGCGTTTTGCGAGGCAAGGCTCAGCATCTGTGCTTGCAGAGTCTGGGATGTCTGCAGGGGCGGTTTGCAAGAAGGCTGCAGACTGACCAGTTGACGAAGATCACTGCAAAGGCTTCCAAGGAAGAGAAGGAGAAGCCAACGTCTTGGATACGAATGTCTCACCTTCATGTAAGCTTCAGAGTTGTTGTGTTGCCGGCGACATCTTCGGGTTGGGATGCGGCAGTGCAGGCAAGCGCGACATCCAGCCGGACGAAAAGATGCTGCTGACGGAGTTTCTTGCGCTAGCCTTACTAAGCCTTCTAAGAACCCCGCAATCCTCAGAAGCATGCTAAGCCACTGGCAACTGTCTGATCTCTATGCCCCAAGTCAAAGCTATGCACACACCCTTCCTCGAGCAGTCCAGAAAGATGTGCGTCTGCAGCCGAAACGGTGGTGCATGTCAGCACCAAAAGCTTGAATAACTACCGTGGAATCAGCAAAACCCATTGCCCAGGTCCGGTAAACTATACCTTCTTACTCTTATTACAAGACCGCTGCAGCAGTGACCATTACCAGAACCTACCCAAACCTCATCCCAACACTCGTTCGGTGAACGCACAGGTCTAGCCTACCAAAGGTTTATACATCTAAGCAGATACGCAATGCCAAACTCTAAAGCCTTTTGGCAAAACATGTATATCACAAAGCACTGATACAAATCCTTGTTTCGTACCAACTCTTCTGCACAAGCTCTAAAGCCTTTCGGCTTTTCGTCTGCAAAACAAACAAAGACACAAATCCGCACTTCGTACCAGCTCTTTTGCACAACTTTCCTCGTTCATCTGATCAATCGGCCCTCCTGCTTGCTTTCGTCATCCTGTTATCTTATAAATCGCAACTCACGACGTTCGTAGGACGCTTCCGACATTGAAAGACTTGCAACAGTGGCGTAGTGGCTGAAAACTAACATAGGACGGTTATGTACACTAGGTTTGTGTGTGAAGAGCTTCCGAAGTTAAAGCAACTGACAGATAACGAGACGAATCAGTGTGGGCGCAGCAATCATTAACTCATAAATCACTTTGCTTTGCCTGCTGGTGCCTCTTGATACAACCTGTGATCATGTTTCGACTGACGAACAGACTTGTGGAGCAGTGCTATGAAAAGGCAAGCAGAACAGTACCAACTGCTCGGTGGAGTATACCCCGATACCATTGAGCGGCACAACATCACAGAACACAAACTCAGCATGCAGCCTCACCCTCGCCTGACAGAAAATATCTTGACAGTATAATTTAAGTCGACTGCTTCACATCTGTCGGCAGATTGTGCGTGCTGCAACCAAGGCTTGATCGCAGGTGACAGTGGTCTTCCGTGCTCCAAACCTGTGTTATCATACCGGTCATGGCAAGAAGATGCCATCACCGCACCGGAACAGTGCTTGACCTGTTGTGGAGTCGATACGAGGCACTAGAAATAATTGTGACCACCCGCGCTGCCCTGCTGAGCCTTTGCAGTCCCCGATGACTTCTTACCCACTCCGCTATGGAGCGCAACAGAGGTTCACCGAGCTAACTACAGCGGAGCACGGGCACTGTATCCGGTGTCTCACAGCGGTCGTGCGAGCCACAATCAAGAATTTGGAATCTCATGATGGAGCTGGCTAGCGGCTAGCGGTATTCCCGTGAAAGAAAATCGAAATAATTGTATCCGCTGCATCATGACGGCGTCCAGCTACAATCGAGACTTTGATCACCTGGGCCCTCTTCGAACAGATTTTGAAGCAGGCACCAAGATCTTGCTAGCCTTTAGCAACACTCGCCAACGGAAGCTTTGCAATGAGGCTGCTCCTTCAGCTCCTCCTGGCTGGGACGAATGTCAGCAAGCGGTATCAAGAAAGAACACGTCAGCCTCGCTCATCTGCTTTTTTGCGAGGAGAAGCTTCTTGGGTTTTAAGCCCAGTGCCTTGCACAGGTTTCACCAAACCCACGAGCAGCGCAAACTCTAGAAGCCACTCCTCTTGCATCAGCTCCTCTTCGTAGGCCTTCGAAATGTTTCGAGCACATATGTGAACGTCAGTGAATAGCAACGTATACAAAGTGTAACGACCCCTGCCTGCACAGCTCCCCGCTCTTCAGCGATGCTCGCCTTGGCACTGCAGAATCTCAATGCTACCAAGCAAAGCCAAGAAGCACGGCATGCATCATCAACATGGTTCTCGGTGGTGAACAGTAGTGTCTCGCTTTCTCGCATACCAATCGTGCATGTAGTACTTGCCGAATTTGCCCATTTGACCAACCTCGACTTCGCGGACAGCAAAACAGAGCGGGCTGGGGCTATGTTTCGGAAGCCCGAATGTACAGCACGAAAAAGGCTTGATGCCTTCCATGATGCAACAAAACAATGCAAGTGATCATGTATTTCCATACAAATAAAAAAACCCCAAATGCTTTCACTGACTCGATGGAGACTTGCATCAACCAGATGGAACCAAGTCAATAGTCACATGTCTCACATCGAAAGTGTCACACAACCAGAGCAGAGGCGCCTTCATCGACTGGCCGAGATACGATTCCCGGTCCTGAAATATTGTCATGTGAGCTGACACATGCAAAGAGGACTTGAAACTAAATGTAAACTTGACTTTAAATCCTAACACAGACCGACCGTCCTTGTACTCCTGTTCTTTGATGGACCTCCATTGAAACTGCTCACGTCCACCCCGGCATCCATCTTTGATTTTCACCTGTTCGATCCCGAAAATATGTCCCAGCAGCGACCGAAGGCCGTCTCGGCGAAGCAAGGTCCATAAACTCAACGGGCATTTAAAGACACGTAGTGGACAGACACCCGGCCTTTACGTCCACCATGCTGCAACAGAAAGGGCGATGCTCAACTTTGAATGTCGCATGCACCACGGCTAACCAGCCTGCATGTTAGATTTGAGTCTACAGCTCGCAACAGCTCTGTTCATGTTGAGTTCGTTGTGTATCACTTGCTGTGCGTAGATGCCTGAACCAGAAGTTTGTCAATGCGATGAAGCTTTGGGCCCGTCTGCTGCCGAATACGAACATAAAACAGAACAACTGACTGACTTCAAGACGGGGGAACGACAATTTTTGTGCTGCATGAAGCTTCCACACGTAAAACTTATGGACGGATGGGCGGCTCCCGGATTTTCACGCACGCTTCAATGGGCCGCCTCTGTGATTCAGCACTCGAAAATATGCAACCTTCAGGTGTCTCTGGGGGCATAGCACCATGAGGACCATCTATGTTGTTTGGTGAATGAACAGCTGCATGGTCACCATCCATGCATGTACAGCATCTATGTACGGGCCTCGGTGGATGTACAGTGGCATCGTGAGCATCCATAGTGGAGTGGTCGGAGCACCATGAAACATCAATTTCGGTGGATGTACAGTGGCATCGCGAGCATCCAAAGTGGAGTGGTCGGAGCATCATGAGACATCAGTTTAGCTTAATAGTTCTGGCTCAAGATCGCTAGCCGCTAGCAGAAACAGGTCTTTGGTTGTGGCTCAAGAAGAACTATCCGAACGAGCAAAAAAGAAGAAGAAACAAAGAAGAGGTTTAGGCTTGGGTAAAAAACGCGATGCGAAGGAAGAAAAAAGAGAAAGAGGTTTTCGGCGTTTGGTTTTAGGTTTTACATTAGCTTTTAAAAGGTTTCGGCTCACCAAAACGAGGCGGGGGAAAAGATGTATTTGAAAGCGAAATTGCGCGATCACTCGGAAGCCTTCTTTTTGCAATGGGGAGAAGCAAAAGTCTGGTTTGCACAAGAAGAAGCACCGATGGTCGCTGAACTATGCTCGAACACATCAGGCCCTCCACACCCCGACAGGAAGAGTGAAAAAGGGTTGGGCGGGCGGGACAAAAATTGGGCCTTTGCCCAACTACGGGGGAAACCCACGTGCCACTATGGAGCCACAATGTTGCACGTGCAACAGATCCTCAAGTCACTCGCATGAAAAGCAAACGATTGAGGGTAAAACTTTGGGCTCTTGAAATAAGACATTTCGAAACGGAATCGGGAAAAAAAACAACATCACCTTCGGTGAGTTTCGTCTCATTTCCTTCTAAACATGCGAGGGACGACCGCTGATGAGACACGCAGCGTGGTTGTCGGTAAACAGCACAACGTCCAAATGCTTGCGCTCACCCAAGAGATCGCACCCTGCCGCAAAGATAGACCTCCTTGTCTGCCACCCTGAGAGGGCTGCAGCTCTCCTAGCTCAAGCCATTTTGAGAACCATCTGAGAACTTGGCCATCCGAGTCATACAAGATGCCTCCGAGCGGGAAGCCGAGCGACATCAGTGAAGATACACAACTTGTCACGCTTCTTACGGGCACAAGCTTTCGAGATCGTGGCAAAGACTGCCTCGCACGTCTTCCGTAAATCTGATTCTCAGCGAACATAAGTCGTCCTCTGAGCGGTGAGCTTGTGAGACGAAGCACGCCCCTTAGCAATCAAGAAATCAAGAAGACGGCACAGGTCCTACCGCCTGTGTTCAGTGTTTTTCACGACAACCCAACCAAGCTTCAGCTGCAAAGGAGACCGGCAAAGAACCACTCCTATCCAGAACAAGGCTGGCGAGCAGCGGCAGAAGCCGCTGCTCGCGCGGCAAGCAGCCGGCCTCTGCGCCTCTGTGTTGTAGACACACAGCCAAGAGTTATTCAAGGATTGGCAGGCGACGGCCAACTGTTTGTGGGCCTTCCTAAGGTGAATCGTGCACCCTTGACGAAAAGGGTCGGCACCGCTCTAAGCTCCAAACTTCGTTCCTGCTTGCAACAGCTGTCAAGCAAGCTAAGGCACGGACACTTTTTCTCACTCGCGGTCTTGAGCCAACGCAGTTCGGTCGTTCTTTCACTGCAGCAAACTCTGTTCTACAGCTCACAACCAAACTCAAAACAA